AGGTGAGTGTACAGTCACCAGCACTTGCTACTAATCACCTCGTTTTTGTTCAGCAGTTTGAAGACCGATCAATTCTCAGTCGAGCAAGATGCGTCAAACGATCGGTTTGGTCCTCTGATTTTCGAATATCTAACTTGTTTTTGTATATTCGAAGCATTTTGGGATGAGGAGCCAAAAAACCTCTTTTCTGCCCTAAAGTGTGCCCCAAGAAGTCGTAGAACCTAGCCCCGCCTCTGATCCACAGACCACTAGTGCCATCTCTTGTCAGCCGAACAAACCGCAGAAGTAAATAATGTCACGTGACTTTTGCACACGCTACAATTACTACGCAGCTGTAGTGGGGGAAGCGGGGCGGAGGCGTGGAGAGGGACGCGATCGGTCGGCTGGGGTCAGGTCGCCGAGGTCAGAGGTCATCCGCTGGAGGGTATTTGGGCGGTTGAGCCGTGTGGGCTTCGGCCTGCGGAGTGGGGAGCGCCTGGACCTGTCTGGAAACAAGTTCTACAACGCTGTGGCAGTCGAGAATATTGTGAGGAAAGGAGAGAGAGGGAGAGAGAGGGAGAGAGAAAGAGGGAGAGAGAGGGAGGGAGAGAGGGAGAGAGAGAGGGGGGAGAGAGAGGGAGAGAGAGATAGAGAGAGAGAGAGGGAGAGAGATAGAGAGAGAGAGGGAGAGAGATAGAGATAGAGAGGGAGAGAGAGGGAGAGAGGGAGAAATAGAGAGGGAGAGAGAGAGAGAGAGGGAGAGAGATAGAGAGAGAGAGAGGGAGAAAGATAGAGAGAGAGGGAGAGATATAGAGATGGAGAGGGAGAGAGAGAGGGACAGAGGGAGAGATAGAGAGGGAGGGAGAGAGAGAGAGAGAGAGGGAGGGAGGGGAGAGAGAGAGAGAGAGAGAGAGAGAGAGAGAGAGAGAGAGAGAGAGAGAGAGAGAGAGAGAGAGAGAGAGAGAGAGAGAGAGAGGAAGAGATAGAGAGCGAGAGGTAGACAGATAGAGAGAGAGGGAGAGACCTATTTTACATCCTAGGTCATCTAATGTCAGGAAAGATCATGAGCGATTGTTTATACTGCAATTTTAAATGCATACGCTAGATTCGTGTTCAAAGCATATTCTAAGCTCTAGATCCAATGTATAAAAAGGCATATGAAAAGACATCTAATGTGCTCATATCATCATTACAGATCAGCTGATGAGCAGCATGGTTCTTTCACGAAAAGTGCGCCTCGGATGTGAAAAAATAAGACGTGAAATTGTAATAACACACTTAACCAAAATTTATTGAAGGATTCGAATTGAGATGGGTGCAAAATGATCTTTTTTATAAATTTAGTCCGAACCTTTTGATGGGAAGGATTCACAAGGACAGAGCCACCGCTAAGCGAACCTTTTTGCGATGACCCTGCCCTCTACCCTCCGATCGCGCAATTCCGTTTCTATGGCAGAATTTAGAGTCCAAAGTTTAACGTGCGCACAAAGCCGCGCACGGCCGGTCCCCTCGCTGACTTCGCCTGGCTACGGCCTGCCACCAACCGCAACCATACCTGTCAGGAGGCCCATAAATGTCGAGCGCCCGTCGCGCTTCGAACCCGGACTGTCATAACCGGGAACGCGTGCTCTCACCACGCGGAGTCCAACGCTCTAACCAACTGAGCTACGGGACCGGCTTTAGGTTAGATCTGACCCAAGATCTAACCTAAAAACGACCCAAAGCCTTCCTTCATTGTCCGAAAACCGCCGACAGCTGATAGCTCAATGACACTAGAGCCGTGCATAAGGAGGCGTGAAAACACTCTCCTCATCTCGATCTATTACAAGAGGACCATGTCATGGCTTGAGAAAGGTGTTCTCAAAATAAATGACACAGTATGAGTGAATAAATAATCCGCGCCTCCTTGGGCTATTGGCGGACTCTACCACCTGATGGGGTGGTGCAGCCGTTTCGCCCTCCACCTGAGATCTCGGAAAGTTACCGATCGATTTTGAAAATTCAAAGAGCGTTCGATAGCCCCACCAGGGAACTACCTTGTTACCAGGTTTCGTTGACCTAGGTGCAACCCATGACGTCACAAGTCAGGTCAAAGGTAGCGTTTTTCACCGATTTAGTCTAAGGAATGCGTTACAGTCAGTTAACACATCAAATAAAAGGCATGCTATCGAAAAACATCGATGGAGCGTTGGTTGCCTAATACATATGTTGCCTAAAGTGGTCACTGATGCCAGGTCAGGTCACAGAGGTCAGGTCACTAGGGGTCAAAATATGAACCCAACTATGCTAGGGTCGTGTGATGTGATACATGTCCCCCCCCCCCCCCCCAACGAGGCTCGAGGGCGAGGCTTTCAGTTGCTGCTCTCACAGAACTCTTGGTTATATTACAACGCAGTGGAATTGCAAGTGGCGATATAAGCTTCCTGCCAGCGCCGGACCAGAGTTCAAACATTCAGGCTGAATTTTAACATTAAACTTTACAATTTTCAAACCGTTGAGCTTTTTAGAAGCTGCATGAACTGTTCAGCTCCTTTTTTGGTCCATCACAGCGGGCTTGTATGTCATTTGTCAACCAAAATCGAATTAATTTTTTTATTGGGTCTGGTTACCTCGCCTACTTCTTGACTGAATCGTTTATTAGCTTTTGATTGGGCACTGCCCACGTTGTCTGTCTATGACACGAGTAGAGGCTGCTGACATCGTTTGTCGCGATTAGATAATAATACCAAATACCAATCCAAGTCCCAGTGGCTGCTCGATCGCAATTTTCCTGGGCCCTGGCCCACCTCTCCAGCCAGGCTAGACTGCTCGGCACAGCCGTCGCCTCAGTGCCTCGGGCGGTGACCCGTTCAAAGGGGCTCACAATTCGTATGGTGCCGTGGCTCTCAAACCAACACAGAGCAGTGAGACGCACAGGCTCACTTTCCATATAAGGCGAACGGCTGATTCTGGCGGCGGGGCTTCATTCATGCTAAGGCGCCCAATCACAGCGCCGCATTTCAGTTAGTGTCGGGCGCAAAAGCTACTATGCTCCGCCCCTCCATCACGTGACCCTGCCCTCACGTGGCCTCAGTCACGTGGTATTTCCACTTCTTGGCGCATGGCGGCGCTAGTCTCGCAGGGGCGGAGGTAGCTTGCTCCCCCGCCGTCCGGGGGTGATGGGTAGCAACTGCTGGTGACTGTACAAGGCCCATTTTCAAATGAAGGGAACGAATTTCTTCAACACCAAGAGGCCGCGGGGGTTGCAACCTAGATAGATAGTGGTTTCTGAACCTCGCCGCAAACTTGGCTATCTCAACTCAAACCCCATGTTAAAAGTGGGATAGTCCCTTTAACTCGACTGCAGGCCGCGCCAGTCCCGACCCGCCCGCTGTTAGGGGCAGGCCGCGGCGGGCTACAATGACACGGCCGTGACGGCTGTCACAGTGACGTGCCGCCCCTCCAGGCCAGCTGGGACAGCTCACCACCGTCCCACCGCCGTCCCATCACTATCCCCCCGAGTCGCCCCACCACCGTCCCATCGCCGACCCGACCAGCTGGGACAGCTCACCGCCGTCCCATCACTGTCCCATCCGAGTCGTCCCACCACCGTCCCATCCACCGCCCCGACCAGCTGGGACAGCTCACCGCCGTCCCATCACCGTCCCATCACCGCCCCACCGCCGCCCCGACCAGTGTCGACTCGACTGCCCCAGTGTCGCCCTGGTGGGCCGATATGCGCCACGTGGGCTCACTGTAGGTCACCTGATTATCAGGACAGGTTAAATAGACGACGACGCCGGTAATCACTGCATGATGACTTCGCTGAAGGCGGCCCAAATTTTCAAATGAGCTTTCAATCGTGAATTTATGGCTTTCATTGAAATGCTGTACGCCAAATGCATGCCACATACACGTCAAAACAAATGTTATTTGCAAAATGTAACGACAAGAGATGGCTCGATGGCTCGTTTGGTTTTTACAGTTAGAGTCCATAAAGTCTGGTTCAAACCGTCTGGGCTCACACGGCCAGAGTCCATACGGTTCGAGTCCAATACAGTCTGAATCCATGCAGTCTGTCTCCATACAGACTCGGTTCATACAGGCTTGCTGCATATAAACTCGACCCATACAATCTGGTCGATAGAGTCTGATCCATACAGTCCAGTCCATACATAGTCTCGGCCCATGCAGACCGTCCATTACTCCATACAGACTCGGTCCATGCATACAGACTGGGCTCGTACGATCTGCGTTTGATACGATCTGTGCGCAGCGTGCATACGGTCTGGGGACCATACGGTCTGGAGACCGTGCGGTCCGGAGACCGTGCGGCCCGCGAGGTCGGATGGTCTCCCCTCACGCCACGGCTCCGCCGCATGGTTTCCGCAGCGTGTCGTCTCACTAACGGAGCCGCATACAGAGCCAGTCACCCGGCCATCCGACGCGGTACCTATATGTAGTTTCCCGAACACCCGCTGGCACAGCCGCTAAAACCCATCTTACGGTATTTGGTCGCGGCCGAAGGGTGCCGGAAGTGGAACTGGCAACATACGCAATCTGGAGCGCGCAGCGAGACGAGACGCTATTCACCAGGCGCTGAACGTGTCACGGAAATCACCTAGTTATTCACTACCGGTCCACCCCTAAAATACGGGCGGAGAATGTATGTAAGAGCAGGCTGGGTACCTATTATTGACCGATCTTAAAACTTCATACATGGTCATTCAAGATACCAATAGCTATGTACATTGCACATACATATATTTGTGTAAAATCTTTCAATTGACCTTTTTACAGTCCTGTTTAGGGTCCTGTAAGTGTAAGCTACATATAGGCATTCATTTCTCTCGCGAGATATGGTTTGATGTTAAAGTCGGTAGTTGCAGGGGCAAGAAATTTCCGTGAGATGAGTCGACTCCTGAACGATAATGAACACAAATTATCAGAACATCACTTTCGAAAGGGCTCCACGCCGCGCCCTTTAACGACAACAGAACAGGCATGTGACCCCATGGGCGACGTTGTTGGCAGGCACTCACCAATGACCAGGAGCAGCAGTGACGTCCACAGGGCGCCGACGGCTGTTCTAAGCGGCGCCATCTCCGAACTGTCCTCTCCCACCGGCGGACAGGCCGAGCGTCCAGTGTCCGCAGGATGTCCGCACCGTGTCCGCTGGGTGTCCGCTGGGCAGCGCGCCGCTCCAACCCCGCTCACCTCGGGTCGTCGTTCAGCGGAGCGCCGCGGGTGACTGTGCCGGCGTCACCGGCGGCGGCGGACGTCATCCGACCGGCCGCAGCCCGCGGCTACGCCCGGCTGACCCCGCCGCGCCCGGCGCGCCGCGTGCAACAAGGGCGCGCGCCGGCCGGCGGCGGCCACCAGCCGTGCCCCTCTGCGCCGGCCGGCCAGCGCCGGAAGGGGTAGGTCGTGTCCGGCAGCCCCGGCCAGCGCGGCGTCCGCGAATGGCTTTGTTTGGATGCACCGGTCTGTCGTCGTCCGCATACAGGGGTCATGGCGGCTCAGCGGGCCGTGGCGATGGATTACATATCGTGGCCTTGATGTTCGACTTTACCAGACATCACATGTGGAGAGACGGCAGGTGCTGAAAGCCTGAAAGACTTTGATGGCACGCGCACGGTCCAACAGGCCTAAGGTCTTCCGAAACACCCGTGATCTCTGCCACACTCAGCTAAACTCTCGAGGCTTGGCAGTTGAACTCAGATTGCATCTGAGCACACATTTGGTCTCAGACCTAAGCGAAAGAGCTTAAACGTACTATTGAATGTTCTCGCTCTTTTTTTTCTCACAGGCCATGAGCCGATTTGTTAACCCTCGCATGTGTAGGGGGGTCGGATGGACCCCCCATGGTTTTTCGCGAATACCTCGCGTAAAAAGCGGCCAATCGCAACGAAACTTTCAGTACCTTCGTATTGATCAATTTTACACCTACCCTGAAAATTTTATGACCCTGACCCAAATGACCTTTGACCTGTGACCTCTGTTCCGAAACCATGTTTGGCCGGAATCGCGATTCCGCGTATGTCGGCTTGCATTAGCCGCGCGTTTGCAAGCTTTTCATGGTTTCAAACGTTCAAACATGTGATTTGCTGTTGCTCCCATGCATAAGGGTAGGTGTCAAGGTCACTTGAAGGTCAGGTCAGGTCATTGACCTTTGATGACCTTTGGTGACCTCGACTCACATTTTCGAGTTTTACATGTTTCTAGGCTAGTTTTTGGAGCTGAATTCGAATTTAGCAACCATTTGAACATTTACGAAGTAGTTTTGGTGACTTCATAACATGTTACGAAGCTGTCAGAGACGGTTGATACCTACTACGAATACCCGGCAAAACCCTTACTGGTTGACCTGACCTGACCTGACCCGACCTGGTCTAAATGCTTATAGATTTCATCTGTGATCAAGACTAACACGATATTCGTGAACAGCACCCTGAAAAACCCCTTAGCAGCCACACTTTACGACTCTCTAACAGGTCCCGATTTTCCCGACTTTGGGTCATTGACCTGACCTGCAAGGTCAACCAATGACCTAGGACCTTAAAATTGGGTGACATCGGCTTGCTCTCGTCACGGGCAACACGCTCGTTTTTTCCGCGAAGCCTCGATCAGGGACCAAACGGCAAGGGGGGGTCCAACCGACCCCCCCCCCCCTACACATTAGAAGCTGGCAAACGCCGCACAAATGCGATGGTTAAAGAATGTCAAAATCAAGAAAATTTGGCCAATGGTGACATTCGGGAACCCCATGCTTGGAACTGACCAGAAAGGTAAAATACAGGATACTTTCTTCGTATTTTTCAATGCTCTTTCGAGCTCTCCTTTCTGCGTGTCGTTACGTGGCCAAGAAGGTGAGTTAGAGGGGGCGTGAAAACTTGCCACTTTTCGGATCGATATGATCCAAATGAACCACAACCTGGCACATGTTTAAACGGCAGAATGCAACGTCTTTTTTTTTGCAAATTTACGGTCGATATTAGCGAGCGAAGACGGCCGGCCCACAAGTGTCAACTGGCCCCTGTCCTGGTTCTCATGTCCACGTGTTGTGTGTCATAGGGGCTGAGACGGGACGGGGGAAGTCTTGGACGCGACCCATCCGGTGCGAGACCTCGCCGGTGACGACGTGACCGACGCAGCCTGACGAGAGCGACAAAGTGCGCTGCATTTGTGTCAGCTGTATTTTGCTCATTTTAACCGTTTGCGCATCAATCTAGAAATCAAAACAGACTTTGATGCGTAGATGAACTATATCTTTATTTGGTCCTCCGTGTGACGAACTGATTGATCGAGAACGAGTACGCACGAGCGAAGCGGTAAATGAGGGCGAAAACAGGGCTAACAGTCGACCTACCACAGTCTCAAAAATATGATATCTGTTTTACTCAGCATGTGTTGTAAGTACCCATCTACCCATCATTGTAAGTACCCATATGGGAAAGTTAGGTACTGAAAGACTGATATTAGTGACATCGGAATATCTACTTCAGAATAAATTACGGGTCACGGGCACCGGCACAAGCCGATAACTATGTTACCTAAATTGTTGCCCTATGCAACAGCGGCATCATAAACAAAAAGGACATTACGAAAATGCTGATAAAAGTCAAATACCGAGGCTGTTTTATAGTCAAAAGATGCTGCACCGATATTGACTGAAACAAAACATGCTAGACTGCTAGAATATTGTCTGACATGACACTCTCATGACGCCAAGAAACAGTCTTTACACATTCCCTAATGTGCAAGGTATTATTGCAGCAAAGGTCGCTCAGCTGTTCTACTAAAGGTTCAAGTAAGTACATAAACCCGAAATAAAAAGTGTTTAACTCCAGCACAAAAGTGCAACAAAAGAAGCATATCAAAAATCAAAATATGACGATGTCGCGGTCGCTGACTCCGGCCTGCCGGAGGAAGGTCCGCACGGCCTCCACCAGGCCCTGAGGGCCGCAGACCAGGTACCTGGTGCCGGTGCCGGGCTGCTGGGCGGCGGCCAGCACGTCACGCCGCTGGATCCGCCGGCGGGTGACCGTCTCGCCGGGCCACGGCCGCTCGCCGTCCGCCTCCGGCCCGGTCACGAACAGCTCGTAGGTGATGCGGCCGGAGCGCGCCCAGCGGGCCAGCCGGCGGCGCGGGAACACCTCCTGCAGCCGGCGGACGGACAGCAGCAGCGACAGCCGCGGCGCGGCCGGCCGCGCCACCGCCTCCGCCATCAGGCCGACCAGCGGCGCCACACCGGTGCCGGCGGCGAGCAGCACCAGTCGCCGGTCGGTCGGCCGCGGCCGGTACTCGCCGAACGGCCCGCTCCAGAGCGCCGTCTGGCCCACCCGCCAGCGGCGCACACACCTCGACATGGCGCCGGACGGGTACAGACGGATATACACCTCGAAGTAGCCGACGGCCTGCGGGTCCGAGACGGGCCCGTAGGCGCGCGTGACGGCGCGTCCGTCGGCGTCGGCGGCCCTCAGCAGCAGGTGGGAGCCGAGCGGGTGTCTCAGCGCGGCGCCGGCCGGCAGTTTGAACCGATAGACGGCCGCCGAGTCGGACACGGCCGTCACGGCCACCAGCGGCAGCGCCGTGAAACAGTGGGGCAGCAGCGCGGTGTGCGTGCCGCCGCCGGGCCCGGAGCCGTTCCGGGCCCCGGCGGCGGCGGCGGACTCCCCCCAGGGCTGGGCGGCGCAGAGGGCGGCCGGACCCCGCCGGCACCAGCCGCCAGCCGAGCCACTGGAAAACGAACTCCGATCGTCGGCGAACGCCTCACCTGGGACAGAAAAGTACAGCCATCATCGCTTAGAGAAACTAACAACGATGTTGTGGTGATCGACTGTGTTGCTGTTCAATGATCTTGACATACTTTTTACTTTCTACACGGTCAGTGGTGATAATTGAATGTCATAAAACGAATGATTCCTCCGGAGTGTCTTCCCAGTTCCCACTGACCTGAGACACCAGAGTGTCTCCCCACTCACCTGAGACTCCGGAGTGTCTTCCCACTGACCTGAGACTCCGACAGGCGCCTCAGCCACTCCCGAGCACCCCGATGACGTCACGGTCAGCGCCGTCAGACCGGCCACGACGAGCAGCGCCGGAGTGGGCGGCGGCGGGGCCCGGCGAGCTGTCATTGCGCTCAGCGGGGGGCCGACGGCTAACGGGCGCCGTCAGACGAGCAGCGCGGTCCGTGCACACACCCATCTGCTGAATAATGGGAGCAGCTGTCAGACCAACTCCGTCACTCCGAACAGCGGCGTCAGCCCGGTACGGCAATACGTGAGTCAGCTGAATGTAACAATTCGGCTCGAACCGCGCTGGCCGGGGAAGGGGGGTAACGTTCTCCTTCACGAATGTTTTCAATAACTCTGAGCACTTTTGTGACGTCTGCAGGAACAAAAAAAAAATCGAGTACCTGCCCACTAAAAACGCCACAGGCCACAGGGTCGATATTCATACACCGTTGCAATTCAAATTTCATTGTCATGATATGAATTGGTTGTCTCTCAAAACATTTTGGAAAGTGGGATGCAAGAGCTATGGAAAAGCGATAGGTAGGGGAAGCGGGGGTAACACCGCCCCCCTAAGCTTTTCGCCAAAATGAGAGAACATGTGTGAAGTCTCTTGGTAGTTATTGTTTTCGTTACAATATTTAAACGTTTTCTCACGTGTTTTAGGTACTTATTTTGCATGCTCCTAAAAGGTTTTCATGTATCACGACTTTTAAAAATACCTTGCATATTTGCTGCCTACAAATTGTGTGGGTAACCCCGCCGGCCGCCACCGGTGTTGATGTTAACCCAACCCATTCCTACGAAAGCTTTTAATTGTTCAGAGATCGTGTGCGATGAGTTTCCTGTCGGTAAGTGGTAATTTTCGCAAATAATCGGTAATGGACACCTAAATAGGTATAGGTTCATCAGCTGTTTGCCAGTTTTATACAGCTGGCAAGTGCTTGGTCGGGATGCATGAAAAATATAAAGTAAAAAATCAAATAAGCTGCTTATTCCCGACTTAGCAACATCTACGAACATAAATAAAGCGTGTCTTTGGAGTTTCATCACTTATCACGCTACAAACAGGAAACACCGCAACCTCAATTGGGGTAACACCGCCACGGGGTGGCGGTGTTCCCCAATAAGTGATCACAAGCAAAAATCGCCAGCGGTAAGAATGTAGGTACTACACGGTTCAAGCAAACTTATCTTACTGGACACAGCCGATCAGTTATTTTTCGATGCAATCAAGTAAATCAAAATGAGTCTCTACTTAACCCGCGCCCTGGTGGGGGGGGCTATTTTTTGCCCCCCTCCAGACTTTTCGATATATCTCCAGAACCACTGCGCCGATCGTCACCAAACTTTCAGTACCCTCCCGGACATCAATTTTACACATTGTGACCAAAAATTTTTCCAAAGGCTATGATAGGTTGGCCGGAAATGACGTCAGAGTGACGTCATGTTCTGCCGTTTTCGACCCAAAAAAGGGTTTCGCGGGAAGAGCTGTCAGGCCTATAGCTTTGCAAATACAGAAAAATGATACAGACATAAAAGCTGTAGAATGAACAGGGCTACAAAACTGTAATCTCGGATTTTTGAATTTTTTGGATTTTGACCTCCAAAAATCAAAAAATAAATTTTTAGAATATAATAGCCAAAAAATCCAAAAAGTTTTTTGAATTTCAAAAAAACAGGAATATATGTGATAGTCCTTACCGCCTTCTATCTACATAACAAATTTGAGATCGATACCTCTTTTTTTGGCCAAGTCATAGTGAAAAAACTGTTCAAAATTGATGACGTCAAATTTTCAAACTCGATTTTCAGCAATTCTAGACCTCGTAGCGCAAAACAAAGACCACCATTAGACTCCCCGTGACGAGCTGCATCGAATCAATACCCATTTTATGCAAAAATATCAACTTTGAAATTTGACCTTTTTTGACCTGACCTTGACCTGACCTCCACCAGAAAGTGACCTAAACCGTACCTGATGGTCTTATAACCAACACCATTGAGTTGGAAATGAAAAAACTGGCCATAAAACATGCATCGCATAACCTTAGTAAAGTTGGGTTCATGTGGTGACCCTTGGTGACCTTTGGTGACCTGACCTGTGACCTGACCTGGTATGACCAGTGACCTCTAACAGCAACATATCTACTAGGCAACTGACGCCCTATCGCTGATTCCCGACAAAATGCGTTTTCCTCGGTGTTATAGCGCATTCCCTAGAAGACCCGTGAACGGTGAAACATTTCATCTTTGACCTGACCTGTGACGTCATCGGTGACCTCGAGGTCAATAAAATTTGGTTTCCTTCGACAAATTTGACAGGCCTTTCGAACGCCGTTTGAATTTTTCGGATCCGTCCAGTAGTTTCGGAGATACGAGGGGGGGGGGGGGCAAAAAATAGCCCCCCCACCAGGTCGCGTTATAAACAGACCCCACCAGGGCGCGGGTTAAAGACATTCAAAAGTGCTCCCAACTCATCGAATTTTTATAAGATAATGTGCATTTTTCTTTAAATGCCCACATTGAGCTTCGATTACACCGAAACACCGGAACACAAATCAGAAGACGCTTACCTTCGTGCGGTTAATAGGAAATAACGGATTTTTACACTTCACATTTCATACTTTCGCCGCCAGATGGGGTGGCGGTGTTCCGTGTTTCCCACAGTGGCGGTGTTACCCCCGCTTCCCCTATAAGGCAATGGACGCCATTTAATTGCGTTCCAGAAAAGCTATTTCTGGCACCTAAAAGCTGACTCGCCCCAAAATTGGTCCTCAGCACCTATTTGGTGGATACCAGCACCAATCATGGAAAATGACCTTAATTAGCTGTTTCTGGCACCTATTCATCGGTACGCCTTACTCTTTTTTCTGAATCTGGCACCTAAATGCTGAGCGTAGCACCAATCTAGTAGAAAAATGAACTACTGGCTGGTAGAATCATGTTGTTCTGGTATAATGACCCCAGGAGTCTAGCCTAAAGGTTGCCAGTGCAGCTACACTCTAAGACAGCCCCGTAGTCGTCTCAGCATTGTATATGACGTTTAAGTAAGCAAATAATATTGATTTTTTGAAAAAAACAATGTCATTTAAATATTTAAAAGTATTTATTTGTAATGCTTAAAGGGAAACATTTTTGTGAGTAATTGTCTCGATTTTGACTATTAAAACGGGTATTGTATTTTTTGACGTCATCAAATAGCTCCAAAAAAGAAATGTAATGTTTTCATTCCGTTCAAGGCCGCTGAAGAAACGCGGGATCTTGCGTGGGACATTGTCCGTTGTTTGCCGCGCAGAGTTGTGCCGTGGTTGTGCCTTTTTCATCCGTTTCTTACTTATGTCATATGTGTGCATGAAGCTTTGATTTTGTTTTTGGTTATTGTGTGGCCGGTTAGTCAAACGCCCCTGTAGAAACCGGATGCTGCGTTTGATCGAGATGGAGTCAGACGATGATTGCAGAAAGCTAATAGGGGAAGCGGGGGTAGCACCGCCATGTGGGAAACACCGCCATCCTCTCTATCGGCAAAACTCTGAATTGTAAATGTAAACACCCGCCATTTCGGTGTCCGAACGGAAACGGGACGCCGCGTGAGGCAGTGGCGGCGCCACGAATTTTCGCCAGTGGGGGCAAGCTTGAGACTGACCCGACTGTTGTCTGATAACGCCGATCTGCAAAATACATTAGCACCTTGTCCCTAGATGTTGTCATTCAAAATTATTTTGGTTTCAGGTTTCACATGCATAGGCGTATTGAGTTTAACCATTAACCCTCGCGGGCCCGGAAGGGGGGCGTTTTTCGCCTCCCCCTGGTGAATATTTGCGATACCTCACGAACGCTTAGGGATAGAAAGACGAAACTTGCTGTACCTTATCCCCCATTAATTTGAAATCTTTTGAAGCAAAAAAAAAAATGGACCTTACCTCCTTGATAATGTCTCAGGGCCGATTTTTCTAGACTCCTGCACGGCAAACTTCGGCGTCACAGACGTGAACTTCAACCAGCTGCCAAAAATTGAGTTTTAGAGATAAAGACAAATTACGAGCACGGTTGTGTAGCATTTGACTTAGAAAAAAAACTTAAGTGACTTTGGTGACCTGAGGTCGGAGGTCAGGGCAACGACCCCGAGCTGGGGCTTAAGTTTCTTTTTTCGCAAATAACTTCAACAAAAATGGTTCTGGAGCTACGGCAGTGGTACCTTCGCATTAGTCTTGTTCGAGACGCGTCGAATGACATATATATTGTTTGGAAAAGGTCAAGTTTTATGTTGACCTCATGTGACCTCGAATGACATTTGGTTGATTTTTTACACATGGAAGGTCATTTGTGATGATTTCGTAGCCGCTGATCACGATTCTGTACCTCTGGCATCAATTTTGCTGTAAGCATTCATTTAGAGCATCAGTATGGCAAAACATCTCTTAATTATTATGCCTGACTTGAATAGTGAAATAGCCTCTAGCAAGGATACTCTCTTGTGACTTCGACCTTGTATCAGCCTTGTATCGTAAGCTAAAGCACAAATAGGGGTCCGCTAAGCTTGAAAACATCAAAACATCTCGCAATTTAGTATACAAGATATAAGAAAAAGTGCAAAGTTTGTGGTCAATTTTGAGCATGATCGTGACCTTGAATTTGAATGTTATGCACATCATCGGAATCCACGGATTCTCTTCTTTTGTTCAACACCCCTTTTAGCCGATTTTATGCACCATGCCGTCCTCTGGAACACGTACTTTGAGACCACTACATAAATGCCGGTTTTTGCCTTTGACCTTGAATTCTGACCTTGAAAACTGACCTTAGGTCAAAATGTTTAGGTGCTTTAAAATCTTCACATATATACTTTTCGTTTGGTACCATTTTTGTTTCCGCAGCTGCCTTATTAACGGAGTTAAACAGGGGGGGGGGAGGGCTACCCCGGGCTGCGGTGGTAAGGATTACCCCCGGGCCCGGCCGAAATAAAACTATAAAACTAGATTGCGAGACACAAACCTGTGAAAACGTTTGTTGTTCGTTGAGATGTAAAATGGTGTGTTCCTCAAAACTATAGTCAGGTCCTATTTCTCCTTTTCCCCGTAGTGCGTATGTATATATGTGCGATTCTCTCACATACGATTGATAAAGGTACGAGAATAAGCTCCATTAGGGCGACCCACATATCATTCCAGATAACCCGGGATATACATATCTATC